AGTGCGACACCTCAGTCTATCACAAGTGGACAGCGGTCCCCCCTGGTCGAGCGGCATCATGTGACTGCACTTTGTGACGGACCCCGAAACTAATTTTTGTATGCTACAAATAAAGATTTTTGCTAAACAGTCTTGACGCACGCGGCCTGTGTATTGAAAATGCGCAAATGTCATAAATTGTTACCGGAATGTGAAACCTTCACCCAGCGACCAGCCTGGGAGAATGCCGTTCGCACCCCTAGATGGCGCTGATGAGTCATGGAAATTCCTATTCTCATCAGCGTCATTCTGGGACCTCGGTTCTCAACTGGCGGGTCGTGACCGAAAAGTGGGTCGCCGCATGCCTTCCACTTTTTTAGGTGAGAGGCTCCTCCCCCTAGAGCAGTTCTCACGCCAAGCAGCCATTCAGAATATGCTGCCCGGTGCCGAGTGTCAGCTTGAGGTGGGCTGGGGGTATGGCCGGGAGGGAGCTCCATTCATACTTGCATTGCTTACAGCTTCCTCACGTGTCCCGTAGAGGCGCCTGGACCGGAGTGACATCACATTCTGGCTCCCCGACACCTCTACAGGGCACGCAAGGGAGCTGTGCCAGCATTGCCCATTTGGATGGAGCTCCGTCACAGCACAGCAGCCCACATCGGACCTCAGGCTGAGGATCCACTCTCCGGTTCTTGTAAAGATTGGGAGACTTGGGTGAGATCGTGGTGACGTGTGTGCTGGCGGTGTTTTTCAGGGGCCCATTTACACTAATCACGCAGACCCGTGCGGAAGGCGCGTTGCATTGCCATTCATTGGAATGGCGCCCCCAAACGCACCTCCCCACCCCCACAGTCCGATCGCCCGCACCGGAGCGTGCGTTCCAGTGCGGTGCGACTTGGACCAATGAGGGCCCTGAGGTGACACAGGTTGATCTATAAATGAAGCTCAAATCGTACAGAACGCCAATTACCGGATATTTTCCCTCCATAAGACGCACTCTTTCCCCCCTCAAAAGGCGGGGGGGGGAATGTGTGTGCGTCTTATGGAGCTAATGCCTATCGCCCGGCGCCCAGGACATGCAGTTTCGGGCGCCGGGTGAGTAGTTTTTTTTTTGTACATTCAGCCCGGCTCCGGACAAGCAGAGCTGAATGTACAGTGGGAGCCGCTGCCCGTTTAATTATCCAATCAGATCACTTGTATCAAATGGGGCGGCGATCGTGTCCAGGTCCCCCGCCCCCCTCCCTGCCCTGGTTTTCGGGCTCCCCCGTTCCTCTGAGGGACCTGTGACATAGAAGCTCACCATAGAGTCCCTACAGCAGATGAAGAACGGACGTTCTTCGTCTTATCTGTGTGATCACAGCGCCACCTGCCTCAGCTGTCAGGAACTACAGCTGTCACAGAACCCTCCCCTCCCCTCCCCTCCCCGCCCCGCCCCCCTGCGTCCTATGGTCCGGTGCGCCTTATGGAGCGCAAAATACAGTAATTTACTCCCCCGTGTCCCAGCATTGAAATTTCCTTCACTTCCTGTCCCAGAGACGCAGCCGGAAGTAAGGGGGGGGATCTCTTTAAAAGGGGAATTCTCTTAAAGCTGAATGCACAAACTTTTATGTAAAATCTATCCTTCAATAACCACAAGGGATATAAATCCGCTTCGTCTGCACCGCAGGACGCAACCATGCAGTTGCCATGCGTTACTGCAACACATGACCCTCATAAGGTACCTTGGGGTGCCATTCAGTTGCCATGCGTTACTGCAACACATGACCCTCATAAGGTACCTTGGGGTGCCATTCAGTTGCCATGCGTTACTGCAACACATGACCCTCATAAGGTACCTTGGGGTGCCATTCAGTTGCCATGCATTACTGCGACACATGACCCTCATAAGGTACCTTGGGGTGCGCCATTCAGTTGCCATGCATTACTGCAACACCGCGGTGTACAGCTCAACAGGGGGCGGAGCCAGAGGTATTCCCTGTTCTATCCAAAACTATATATACATAAATGTTGCTGTGGGAACAAAGTGCAGTTTTTCTTTGTTGTGAAATGTTACTTCCTGTCATGAATATTTGGGGCCCCGTTTAGACTTTTGCATTGCTGCAGCTCGCATTGCATGCGTCGTCACTCCTTCTGAATGGCGCCCCAACACAGCAAGGCAACACACACACGCATTGTAGCGCACCGCAAAACACTAAAGTGCATTGCGGATTTTGTGACACGTCTGATTTCGGCGCACTGACGCCCCATAAATGTCAATATT